AACGTAGATCAAAAGGTTGAACCAGAAAATTGATGTTTTTTATTTCATCTTGTTTATTATTCCAAGATTCAAAGCTGAACGGTGAAGCGGCTAACGCAGCACTGGCTAATGAAGACTGCCCGCACATAGACCAGGCCATATCTCCCGAGGAAATCTTCAGCCCCAGCGAGCGAGAGCGGCCCTGCTTCTTGGTCACCACGGCTGAACACCCCAACCACACGGGGGGCAGAGTAAGGAGGGGTACGTACAGTAACAGCCAATCACAGGCCCCCCCGAAACACTGACACCCTGTAGGCCGTAGACATGACATTGCTTTTTTTGCATCAGTTTTTTTCCACAAACACACACATGCAACAAACCCAATCACTCACTTCTTCAACCATCCTGCTGGAGATTCTACACACCCACCAAAGCACACAAGCACAATCCCCACAACTGCCCAAGCTAACCCACAGTTACATAAGATCTATTTTTTATACCATGCATATTGTAATACCCCTATTTATTTACAAGTAAGAAAGCTATTTTTGAGATTTATATTATCTTACATGCCTAGGACGGTATTTTTTCGTGCTACATGTGTATCATGTATGTTTATGTGTTTTGATAAACACGTGTAAGATTCCGACTTACAAAAATATTCCTGTTGACCATAACGGTGCATGAAGTGTCTTGCTGATGGGTGCTATCAGTATGGTGAAGGAGCACAACACAGAGAAGGAAAGAATTTCCATCATTATTACACCTTAAAATGGCTTTAAATCTTATCTTAATTAAAAAAACTAAACAATTAAAGTTCAAAACATTCCTGTTGTTGGTGGTGCACGGTTGTGTGCAGCAATTCTGCCTGAGGCCGACTGTAGACTTCCTGCCCACAGTGCCTACTGTTGTTACAGTGTTCTACTCCAACCATTCCAGTACCACCCTGTGCATGCCGGTGTACTCCTGATGCACTCAATGCATGGAGAATAATAATATGTTTCAAGTCTGTGTTGACCTGTTTCTTTGGAGACAAAAACAAGAAAGCAACAGGTGCAGTGTAAGCAGTGAGAAATGCAAAAACCAAGTAAAAAAAAGAAAAAAGAAAACCTTCTGTCATGGATCCCGTGCTGCAGTGTACTCAGAACGTTCTCTGTTTTCCAACTGAAGGTTATGAAAAGCCTTGGAGCCTTAACAGCATGTCTGGCATGAGCGGGGATGCCTCTGGAGTGTCCTCAGTGTCCGCCCTGCCCTGCAGCCCACCCTGTCTAATGCAGCACTCACATTCTCCCATCCCATCCATTATGTAGCATGGTTGAGTAGCAGACACAATGCCATTGGAAGGCCAGTCCACAATCCTCCTTCTTATCTCTTCTGTCAGACTTTGCTTTGACACTTGCCGTTGCTCCTGCTTTTCTTTTCTTCTCATTTTTGTTTTTCTTTTCCCTGGAACAATGTACCTTAACTGTGCTTAAAACTTAAGCTTCCCAAGTGATCTACTTGGGTGTGTCATCATATTCTAGATTAGACAACATTGGCAGATGCCACTCTGCATGGGTCACCTCAGCTGCAGACAAAGCACCGTTCTACTGCAGGCTAACTCCTCTTTTTTTTTTTCCTGTGTTGACATCATTGCCTGTTGCTCTGTTGCTTTTGATCTCATACTCTTCTACTAATAAGTTTGATCTCATTTGCTTTTTGGGGGCTAGAAATTTGTTAAATATTCTTTTCATGAGATGTAACCCCTGCTGATACAATGCTGGAAATTTACTCATTGCTTTGAAACATATCCAAAAAGCTGTTAAGGCAACTGTCAAGTGCTTTGTACGTTGCAAAGTAGAGACGTTTTCATGCTGAAGTGCAATCCAGACAAGACTCCATGTCAACTGAGTGGCCATTAAAGAATATATATATATATACAAATATATATTTGAACGCAATGTTCACAATGTCCAATGCAATATGGAGATTATGGCAAATCCTTTGATGCCATTGATGAATATATTTATTGTCAACTGAACTGAAACTGTTAATTTGCATGAACTGCATGGTAAATCATGTTCAACCAGAAGCTAATTGTAATGCAGTACCTGTAAAGGAAGAAAAAGAATTTAAAAGCTTGCTAAGCTTTGTCATTCTTATGCATTTCAATACAGCTTTACAAGAGCCTCAGTCATAGCAGAATCTTCTATGTAGCCGCCATTCTTTGCCTTTCCCCAACTCTATACATTTACTTTCCTTGTCACCATTTGGCCGGGAGTTCAGACTATAAAGAGTCGTCAAACTTCAACATATTTGTCATAAAAGCCAACAAATGCTGTTGTGAGCATAAATACTTTTTATATGACAGTATTTACTATTAATTTAGGGTTTTTAAAACTCTGTTAATACGTTTCAGGAAGTTCTGTTACTGCTCTGCTGCTTGAACTGATGCAGGACTCATGGGACATACAGGTGCACCTCAATAAATGAACGAGTTACTTTAGTAGCCAAAGCTAGAAAATGAAACTCAGACTAATTACATAAAAATATTTCAAGCATTTATATCTGTAAATAAGACCAATAAAATGACATTTTGAGACACGAGTCTTATGAAGTTTGTGGGAACATGACAGCCTTGATGGGAGAAAAGTTAAGCCATCAGAAGTCTAATAAAGAAGCTGGTTGTTTACAGAACACTGTATAATATAGAAGGTTCAGCGGAGGGAAAATGTGTTTTCACAAAAAGGATTAAAAGCATTAAAAGGAGTATTTACACCCTTAAGGAGATTGTGAGGCAGTGTGTGTACTGCTGAGTTTTCTAGTGGATGGACTGCAGAGAGAAATGAGACAGGACTGTTGCTCAGTGGTCAAATATCCTAGATTCAAATTTTAATCGTAGCAAAGATTCCAAGGTCTGCAGGAAGAGTAGCTTGGTATTTCAGTTTCATGTTGGTGAAGCCTGAATGAGCCATATCATAAGCCGGTGTTGCTTTACTTGGTTTTATCCAGTTCAAAGTCAGAGCATCTAAAGCATGCATCATGCTTCATTCTGGGAGTTAAGGCCTGGTTCTCCTCCCGCAGCAGCGTGTCGCAGATGTTTTTGATTTCTGCCCAATATTGAAGCGTGGTCTGCGTTATTTTATTCCACGCCACAAAGCCAGAGGGCCAATCAGGAACTAGATAGGGCCGAATCGGTGAGGAAGTGGGGGCAAGTTTGTGCGACAATGGAGGGACATGAGGGCCAAAAAGAGCGGGGATGCAGGTGGAAAAAGGGTCCCAGCGTTCTCGCCTCGCTCTTCTAGCTGCTCCATCTTCACCAGTCGTTTTCCACAATGGCGGTCAGACAAACAAAACAAGCCGGTAAGGAACCAAACATAGTGTAAAGCAAACGTAGATTTGACCAATCAGAGGCCTCTTGTCTGCAATCACCTACACATTTTGAGAGGTGCAGCAGAGTGTCTGTGGGAGGGGGCGGGGCATATCTGACACACATTCGGATGACCTGGTTTCTGAGTATAAATCAGCCTTTATTCAGCAGCTCTTCACACCTGAGCCCTGTACCACAAAGGCAGCTCAAGTAGTGGGATTACTTCCATTACTTCCCCACTGTGGTACAATAAAGGGATTTTCTATTCTATTCTATTCTTTCCAGCTGTCACA